AAAAAAAAAAAAAAAAAAAGTAATTCCTTATAGTAGTGCCCTTCAAATTAGATTAGCCTAATGAGGGATCTATCCATTAATACTACAGACAGTGCCATCTTTCTCTCCCCCGGAGATGGAGTCCTGCTCTGTTGCCCAGGATGGAGTGCAGTGCTGCAATCTCGGCTCTCTGCAACCTCTGCCTCCTGGGTTCAAGCGATTCTCCTGCCTCAGCCTCCAGAACAGCTAGGATTACAGGCATGCGCCACTACGCCCAGCTAGTTTTTTTGTATTTTTAGTAGAGGCGAGGTTTCACCATGTTGGCCAGACTGGTCTTGAACTCATGACCTCATGATCTGCCTACCTCGGCCTCCCAAAGTGCTGGGATTACAGGTGTGAGCCACCACGCCCAGCCGAGAGTGCCATCTTATACTAAAATCAGGTCTAAATGATATGTAGTCAGGACAACAGTTGTATCCATATGTCGATGGGTAAGAGAAATGAGGACAAGAACAGAAACCAGGAGATAATATGCGAGTGGATAATTGTGGTCATTAAAATGACAAAACAAAGAAAAGTAATTCAGAGAAACAAAAAAATTCAAAAATAGCTATGAAAACTGTTTTAGAGAGAAAAGTTGAACTCAACAATAGACACAGAAGGTATTTTCAGAAGAAAATAGATTGAGAATTGTTTCTTCAAGGGAAACTGGGCTGGGCGAGTTGGCTCACGCCTTTAACCCCAGCACTTTGGGAGGCCGAGGAGGGAAGATTGCTTGACACCAGCCTGGGCAAAACAGCCAGGACAAGACCCTGTCTCTTTTTTTGTTTCCTTTTAAAAAAAAGATAAACTGAGCTTGACAAGGTCAGGTGAAATATGCACAATTCCATTACAATGGAAGAACAGCACTTGGGACACATGTCCCTAATGGCTCATCTGACAAAGTCCCACAGCCAGTAACTCTTCCTGCATCGACACAGCTTATGCCTGTTCAGTGAACAGAGCCCATCCCTAACAATGTCCAACTCCAATAATCACGTTTTCCTTATCAACTGATCCATCACACAAAAGATCAACTGATCCATCACACAAAAGACGGCTGTTGAGTAAGCCCAGGACAGACGCAGGTAAAACACAAGGAGGCCAAACGATGACTCCAGGACTCTTTAAGAGCCCCGGGCGAACGCAGGAAGCTCTGCCTTACAGCTGGAGGGAGGGTCCAGAGCACACGCCTCACGCGCCTCCTCGCTGCTCCAGTTTTACGACTGTCCGTCTCAGGCTCTTTGCCACTTTCAAGTTCTGGGTTTTTTGTACATAAGAAACAAACTTGTCTGTCCATATTTCTCTAAAAATCTGCTGAATGCTCACTAAAGTTATAAACGAAATTCAAAGTACTTACCCGATGGAAGAATTTCTCTAATCTTTCTTTCAGAAGCTCAACGCCTCCATCTTCCATGGCTTTCAGAAATGTTCCATTAAAAAGCTAATGAGGTAAAAGACCACAGGAAAAAAACAATCAATTTCATACGCTCACTTTTTCAGCAGAACTAGAAGAAGTTCTTTTTTTCCTTTAGATTATTATTATTATTTTTTGAGACAGAGTCTCACTCTGTCACCCAGGCTGGAGTGCAGTGGCATGATCTCAGCTCACCGCAAGCTCCGTCTCCTGGGTTCACGCCATTCTCCCTCCTCAGCCTCCTGAGTAGCTGGGACTACAGATGCCTGCCACCATGCCCGGCTAATTTTGTTTTTGCAGTTTTAGTAGAGATGGGGTTTCACCGTGTTAGCCAGGATGGTCTCGATCTTCTGACCTCATGATCCCCCCATCTCGGCCTCCCAAAGTGCTGGGATTACAGGCGTGAGCCACCGCGTCCGGCCTTTCCTTTAGATGATTAATTCAGCTCATTAAATCTCCCAGTTCTTTTCAATAGAGAAAATATTTAAATGAGAAAAGTTGAGTTAAAAATGTAAGTTACAAAAAATACTGTTAAGTGATGCTGTCTTATTTATGAAACCACCTAATTGCTCTAGGCATCTTTCAAAAATTTCAACTTACCCTGAAGTTTCAATTTACATAAGTAATATCACCCAAATTTTTATTTTTTATTTTTCAGTTTTCTTTCAATGAATGGAATCACCATTTTTATCCTTTTTTTTTTTTTTTTTTGAGATGGAATCTCGTTCTGTCACTCAGGCTGGAGTGTGGTGGCGCAATCACAGTTCACTGCAGCCTCGACCTCCCAGGCTCAAGCGATCCTCCCACCTCAGCCTCCCAAGTAGCTGGGACTACAGGCATGCACCATGACACCTGACTAACTTGT